TAATGTGTGTGTGTTATCAACCCCGCTCCTGTGCCAGGTAAGTCCACTACGGGCTCACCGTAGCCCGTGCTACTTGGAACTTGTTCCGAGTAGCTGAATCTATAACAGCAGCAACATATGTGTGTATGTGTATATACCTCTTTGTCCACTACTGGACAAAGAGGTATATACACATCACTACCGCTCACAGAAAAGACATGGGGTCCATTACCGCCCACAGGGAAGGCATGGGGTCCACTATCGTTCACAGGGAAGACATGGGGTCCACTACCGCCCACAGGGAAGACATGGGGTCCACTACAGCCCACAGGGAAGGCATGGGGTCCACTACCGCCCACAGGGAAGGCATGGGGTCCACTACAGCCCACAGGGAAGGCATGGGGTCCACTACCGCTCACAGGGAAGGCATGGGGTCCACTACCGCTCACAGGGAAGGCATGGGGTCCACTACCGCTCACAGGGAAGGCATGGGGTCCACTACCGCTCACAGGGAAGGCATGGGGTCCACTACCGCTCACAGGGAAGGCATGGGGTCCACTATCGCTCACAGGGAAGGCATGGGGTCCACTACCGCTCACAGGGAAGGCATGGGGTCCACTACCGCTCACAGGGAAGGCATGGGGTCCACTATCGCTCACAGGGAAGGCATGGGGTCCACTACCGCTCACAGGGAAGGCATGGGGTCCACTACCGCTCACAGGGAAGGCATGGGGTCCACTACCGCTCACAGGGAAGGCATGGGGTCCACTACCGCTCACAGGGAAGGCATGGGGTCCACTACCGCTCACAGGGAAGGCATGGGGTCCACTACCGCTCACAGGGAAGGCATGGGGTCCACTACCGCTCACAGGGAAGGCATGGGGTCCACTACCGCTCACAGGGAAGGCATGGGGTCCACTACCGCTCACAGGGAAGGCATGGGATCCACTATCGCTCACAGGGAAGGCATGGGGTCCACTACCGCTCACAGGGAAGACATGGGGTCCACTAACGCTCACAGGGAAGGCATGGGGTCCACTACCGCTCACAGGGAAGGCATGGGGTCCACTACCGCTCACAGGGAAGACATGGGGTCCACTATCGCTCACAGGGAAGGCATGGGGTCCACTATCGCTCACAGGGAAGGCATGGGGTCCACTACCGCTCACAGGGAAGGCATGGGGTCCACTATCGCTCACAGGGAAGACATTGGGTCCACTACCGCCCACAGGGAAGACATGGGGTCCACTATCGCTCACAGGGAAGACATGGGGTCCACTATCGCTCACAGGGAAGGCATGGGGTCCACTATCGCTCACAGGGAAGGCATGGGGTCCACTACCGCTCACAGGGAAGGCATGGGGTCCACTACCGCTCACAGGGAAGGCATGGGGTCCACTACCGCTCACAGGGAAGACATGGGGTCCACTACCGCTCACAGGGAAGGCATGGGGTCCACTACCGCTCACAGGGAAGGCATGGGGTCCACTACCGCTCACAGGGAAGGCATGGGGTCCACTACCGCTCACAGGGAAGGCATGGGGTCCACTACCGCTCACAGGGAAGACATGGGGTCCACTACCGCTCACAGGGAAGGCATGGGGTCCACTACCGCTCACAGGGAAGGCATGGGGTCCACTACCGCTCACAGGGAAGACATGGGGTCCACTACCGCTCACAGGGAAGGCATGGGGTCCACTACCGCTCACAGGGAAGGCATGGGGTCCACTACCGCTCACAGGGAAGGCATGGGGTCCACTACCGCTCACAGGGAAGACATGGGGTCCACTACCGCTCACAGGGAAGGCATGGGGTCCACTACCGCTCACAGGGAAGGCATGGGGTCCACTACCGCTCACAGGGAAGACATGGGGTCCACTACCGCTCACAGGGAAGGCATGGGGTCCACTACCGCTCACAGGGAAGGCATGGGGTCCACTACCGCTCACAGGGAAGGCATGGGGTCCACTACCGCTCACAGGGAAGGCATGGGGTCCACTACCGCTCACAGGGAAGACATGGGGTCCACTACCGCTCACAGGGAAGGCATGGGGTCCACTACCGCTCACAGGGAAGGCATGGGGTCCACTACCGCTCACAGGGAAGGCATGGGGTCCACTACCGCTCACAGGGAAGACATGGGGTCCACTACCGCTCACAGGGAAGGCATGGGGTCCACTACCGCTCACAGGGAAGGCATGGGGTCCACTATCGCTAAAGGAATGATCCACCAAATAAAAACAATCCTGGCTAGGGCTGGAGGGGGATGAGTGCCACTACTATCCAGTACAAGGAGCCACCCTAACCTCTGTCCACAGACGATATAATGTGCATCTTGTCCTTCCTCCTCCTCCTTATCTCCATTACTCCTATTCTTCTCCTCCTCAACAACAACAACATATTTTGTCCTATGGATCTTCCTCCTGATACCACCAAGTATCCAGATCCTCCACCACGAGCTCCGATCTTCCTCCACGCGGCCGTGGAAGCCTAATACTTTATTTTTTTGTTCGAGGTGCCTCAATCATCTAATATTTTGGTATTCTTAGCAACTGTTTGGTTGAACGCACAGTAGAGGACTTCCAGTTAACTATGTTTACCTTTTGTACTGTTAATTTTATTAATTAATAGTACAAAATTATCTATTAATCTAGAGAGCTATTGAGAGAAAATTATCTATTAATCTTAATCTATTAATAAGATAACACAACAAACGTTCGTAAGTTAGATTACACAACAAACGTTCGTAAGTTAGATTACACAACAAACGTTCGTACGTTAGATTACACAACAAACGTTCGTACGTTAGATTACACAACAAACGTTCGTAAATAAAATCACACAACAAACGTTCGTAAGTTAGATTACACAACAAACGTTCGTAGGTTACACCACACAACAAACGTTCAAAGGTTACACCACTCAACAAACGTTCGAAGGTTACACCTCACAACAAACGTTCGAAGGTTACACCACACAACAAACGTTCGAAGATTACACCACACAAGAAACGTTCGAAGGTAACACCACACAACAAACGTTCGAAGGTTACACCACACAACAAACATTCGAAGGTTACACCACTCAACAAACGTTCAAAGGTTACACCACTCAACAAACGTTCGAAGGTTACACCACACAACAAACGTTCGAAGGTAACACCACACAAACAAACGTTCGAAGGTTACACCACACAACAAACGTTCGTAAGTTAGATTACACAACAAACATTCGAAGGTTACACCACACAACAAACGTTCGAAGGTTACACCTCACAACAAACGTTCGAAGGTTACACCACACAACAAACGTTCGTAAGTTAGATTACACAACAAACATTCGAAGGTTACACCACACAAACAAACGTTCGTAAGTTACACCACGCAACAAACGTTCGTAGGTTACACCACGCAACAAACGTTCGTAGGTTACACCACACAAACAAACGTTCGAAGGTTACACCACACAACAAACTTCTCTAACTTGTCCACTATGAAACGTTTATAGCTTCCCCGCCACCACAAACGTTACGTAAACAACCTGTCCTCACACTTAATATTTCACTGCAATTTCAGCTCTATAGACCATAACATCAACATTCTGGCGCCTTGAAGACAACACAACCACCGCTATTTGACTTTTATAACTGCATTTAGCGGCTTGAAGCGGCAGTCTATGACCTTAACAACAGTACGGGCTCCTCTACGTCATTCCTACTCTATAAACAAAGCGAACCAACCCCAACCTAACCTAACTTATCAACTAGCCTAGCCTAACCCTATCCAACCTAATGTAAACAAAAATATCAGATCAAATAGTGTGTTTTTTGTAAGGTTCGGCCGGTTTGTGACGTCACTGTGACGTCATGGTCTTAATACTGGTACAGGTTTTGGACCCTACTGGGACTGGCGGGAGATACCTTGCAACCTGAGGTCGCGTGCTGCATTGCATTATTGCAGATCAACTGCTGGCAGCACCGTGAGCCGCGACACGTACACAAGCGCCCTGGTAAGGGGTTAGGTACTCCCAGTGGTGTATCCTGCCGCCTCGTAGTCTATGTGAACTGAGTTGTCTTTAGTACTGGACTATATTCAGAGTTAATGGAGACTTTGCTGGCTGGTCATTAGGCTATTATGGTGGCCTTAATAACCCTCTAAAAGTTGATAAGCTTTAATTAATGATCCTCATAGATTGATAGGTCTTAATAACCCTCCATAGGTTGGTCGGCCTTAATAACCCTCCAGATGTTGATATAAGCCTTAATATACCCGTTGTCTAAACATGGAAGGAATTCAATGAGGATAAGAGCGAGGGCTTAGCAAAAGCATCTTTCTCTGGCATCGGGCGAAGCCATACCCCGTGGCTCAAGTGTGTTTCAAAATACTCGTCAATTACTCCTCGGGTCTCCGGGGAGGGGGGGGGATGAGTAGGGGGGGTGGGGGGATGAGTAGGGGGGGGGGGTGGGGGATCAGGAGTGGGGGGGGAGGTGATAGTGTAGACTAGGCTATTGGAACACTTGTTACATAAGCGTTCTGAAACTATTTAAGAATTATTTTTTTTTTAATTGTGGTATGTGCGTTTATAAGTTTTTTTTTTGTAATGTTTATTGTTAAAACACAAAATTTGGACTTTAATTCATATTTATTTTAATTTTGAGCTTTAATACTGTTGGTTTATATGTAACTTTAACATATGTTAAATGAAATTGTATGTTACTTTGCAGATAATAACGAGAAAGCACGTAAACCTTATGTTATAAAGATGAGAATACATGTTTCGAAACGTCATATATATGGTTAATTATGAATATTCATATACATATGGCATGTGTTTACAGCTTCGAGTCCCTAAACCATTCATACTTACTCGAAATGCAGAATTCATGTATAGTGAGACTGATAAAGAGTGACTGTACATATAAGTGTGTTTGTTCTGTGTATCGTTTAAACATGCCATCACTTAGTGCAGTAGCAAAGTGTTTTCTTCACTGAACGTGAGCTCTGTTCTAAATAATAGTTAGCTCGATATGGATTTTTTCAACAGTTTGGAAACTCGTCTGCATACTTTATGCCCAAGTGAATACAATATCTCTGGACTTGCTTACGATATGTAAACAAAAATGAAACAACGATACTCACCTCATGGAAGTTGCGCCAGTGGTCGAAGGTATACCTCACACACACACTCTTGTGGAAGTCAAGATTGAGGACCCGGACGAAGCCTCGCACACTCATATCGTCCCCGACCTCAACGTTCTCCACCACAACCCGCTGGTTCCTCACCCGCTCCAGGAAGTTGATTTGTGTTCCCGGTTGCTGGAAGAGAGGTGTCAGCAACCGCCTGGGAATAGGAGGCTCTGTGACTTGGCAAGTGTAGCCAGAGGACGCTGCGGCTGCCTCGTTTTCCACTTGGAGGTCCCAGAAGGCGGAGCGGGGCACGTGGGGGACGCCGCCCCCGAGGAAAGTCCGCACCGCTGCCAGGTCAAGACCCAACATATCGGCGAAGCGTACTATTTTCTTTCGCCCCGGAGTGCCCGGCGGGGTCTTCCCACACTTGAGGGACGATGAGCGCTTAATCCGCATCTTAAAATCTTCAACTCTTTCCGGATCTGTTTCTTCCGACGAACGATTTTCGGCCTCGTCAGAGGACTCTTCAGTGTCGCCTGCATCTACCTGGATGCCTACATCTTCCACCTGCAGATTTGATAGCTGGGAGGCCAGCTCGACGCTGCACACGTGCTCCTCAACCACGTCTTTGACTTCTGCGACTTGACTAGCTTCCTCAGGCTGAGACATGCTCTCTTCTTCATACGAAATGACAGTCACAGATGGCGGCCGGTCCTCAGCCTCCTCTGATAGCCGCCGAACCCTCTCGGTATAGCCCCGGATGTTGCGGAACTTCCCCGTTAATATCGTCTCTTCTTCAATATCTTCTTCGTTTTCCACTTCCTCTTCATTCCCTTCCGCATCTTCGTCTAATGTTTCAATCTCTTCGTTGTCCAAGTCCATGGAGAATATCTCGTCATGTACTCTAAGGTCAGCCTCATCGTCCCGTGCCTCCATGGCGGCCCGAGGCTCCTCAGAGGGCGTGTAGAGGTGAGAATCGGCAACTGGGGGCGTCCAGCCAGAAATAGCCCGGGGGACAGCCTCGATTTCTGGGGAAGTTTTCACGATAGTTTCATCGTCCCAGCGGGGTGCCATCTCTGGTTTACCATCACCGTCAGTAAACCCAGTCTCGATGACTGAGTATTTGACTGTCACGCTAGCCACGAACCCTGCTGCTCTCTGCCCGTCCACTCCTTCCCACTCCTGGGTTGGTTCGTGACCTTCGTCGACTTTGTTTTGACCTTCATTATCGATCATCACACAGTGTTCCACTCTACATGCTTCACTGATTTCCTGATCACTGTTTGTGTACGCGTTCGAAGCACAGTGGGTGAGCGTGCTGCCACTGGGATTGGAGTCGGGTGAGAGGGTCGGCCCTACCGGCGCAGTGCCGCGAGAAGCGTGGCACTGATCAGGCCCCGACTTGGCGACTGGCGAAGTCACAAGCGCTGAACCCGTCGTGGGACACCACCCGGGCACAGCTTCGCCAGCGCCCTCTGTGCCCGACACAGGTAAAGGTTCCACACCAGCCACCTGAGTGGAGCCCTCGTGTGCTCCCTGCTCACTATCACAACATGCACATGCACAACCACGCCGCTCACAACCTGCAACTTCGTGTTCATCACTTTGTACACACGGTTCGCTTTGTTCACTAGTCACCTTGTTGTCACCTGGTTCACAACTGCTGTTGTCACCTTGTTCAAAAGTACCGTATTTGTCACGTTGTTCACAATTGCTGTTCCCACCTTGTTCAGAAGTGTCGTAATTGTCCCCTTGTTCACATGTGCCGTGGTTGTTAACTTGTTCACAAGGATCGTGGTTGTCAACTTCCTCACAAGTGCCGTAGTTGTCAACTTGTTCACAAGTGCCGTAGTTGTCAACTTGTTCACAAGTGCCGTAGTTGTCAACTTCACAAGTGTCGTGGTTGTCAACTTCTTCACAAGTGTCGTGGTTGTCAACTTCACAAGTGTCGTGGTTGTCAACTTCACAAGTGTCGTGGTTGTCAACTACTTCACAAGTGCCGTAGTTGTCAACTTCACAAGTGTCGTGGTTGTCAACTTCCTCACAAGTGCCGTAGTTGTCAACTTCACAAGTGTCGTGGTTGTCAACTTCACAAGTGTCGTGGTTGTCAACTACTTCACAAGTGTCGTGGTTGTCAACTTCCTCACAAGTGTCGTGGTTGTCAACTTCTTCACAAGTGCCGTAGTTGTCAACTTCACAAGTGTCGTGGTTGTCAACTTCACAAGTGTCGTGGTTGTCAACTTCACAAGTGTCGTGGTTGTCAACTTCCTCACAAGTGTCGTGGTTGTCAACTTCACAAGTGTCGTGGTTGTCAACTTCACAAGTGCCGTAGTTGTCAACTTCACAAGTGTCGTGGTTGTCAACTTCACAAGTGTCGTAGTTGTCAACTTCACAAGTGTCGTGGTTGTCAACTTCACAAGTGTCGTGGTTGTCAACTACTTCACAAGTGCCGTAGTTGTCAACTTCACAAGTGTCGTGGTTGTCAACTTCCTCACAAGTGCCGTAGTTGTCAACTTCACAAGTGTCGTGGTTGTCAACTTCACAAGTGTCGTAGTTGTCAACTTCACAAGTGTCGTGGTTGTCAACTTCCTCACAAGTGCCGTAGTTGTCAACTTCACAAGTGTCGTGGTTGTCAACTTCACAAGTGCCGTAGTTGTCAACTTCCTCACAAGTGTCGTGGTTGTCAACTTCACAAGTGTCGTAGTTGTCAACTTCACAAGTGTCGTGGTTGTCAACTTCACAAGTGTCGTGGTTGTCAACTTCTTCACAAGTGCCGTAGTTGTCAACTTCACAAGTGCCGTAGTTGTCAACTTCACAAGTGTCGTGGTTGTCAACTTCTTCACAAGTGCCGTAGTTGTCAACTTCACAAGTGTCGTGGTTGTCAACTTCTTCACAAGTGTCGTGGTTGTCAACTTCACAAGTGTCGTAGTTGTCAACTTCTTCACAAGTGCCGTAGTTGTCAACTTCTTCACAAGTGCCGTAGTTGTCAACTTCACAAGTGCCGTAGTTGTCAACTTCACAAGTGTCGTGGTTGTCAACTTCACAAGTGTCGTGGTTGTCAACTTCTTCACAAGTGCCGTAGTTGTCAACTTCACAAGTGCCGTAGTTGTCAACTTCACAAGTGTCGTGGTTGTCAACTTCACAAGTGTCGTGGTTGTCAACTTCACAAGTGTCTTCACAAGTGCCGTAGTTGTCAACTTCCTCACAAGTGTCATGGTTGTCAACTACTTCACAAGTGTCTTCACAAGTGCCGTAGTTGTCAACTTCCTCACAAGTGTCATGGTTGTCAACTACTTCACAAGTGTCTTCACAAGTGCCGTAGTTGTCAACTTCTTCACAAGTGTCGTGGTTGTCAACTTCCTCACAAGTGTCGTGGTTGTCAACTTCTTCACAAATGCCGTAGTTGTCAACTACTTCACAAGTGTCTTCACAAGTGCCGTATTTACCACCTTCCTCACAAGTGCCGTAGTTGTCACCGTGTTCATAATTACTGCTGTCAACATTTTCAAAATTGCTAGTGTCAACTTGTGCACAAGTGCTATAGTCCGTGTCTTGTTCACAAGTGCCGGAGTTGTCACCTTGTTCATAAATGCCGTAGTTGTCAGCCTGTTTACAAGCGCCGTAGTTTGCAGCTGGCTCAGCCGTGGAGCTCAAGGCGTCGGTAAGAGAGGAGTAGGACAGCAGTTGCCTGACAGCGCGGAGGTCTGCGTCAGGAGAGCAGACCAGGGACTCCTCCGGCGGGAAGAGCTCTCCGGGGGTCGCGGAGTCTGCTTCCTCACTCTCCTCGTCATCTCTCTCGTTGTCGAACATGACGGGGGAGGTGACAGAGGTGACACAGCCACTCTCGGGCCTCTCACCGGCTTCATTATGTTGGTGTTCCTCGACTTCCTGCTGCTGCTGCTGATGCGCCTGCTGCTGCTGCTGCTGTTCCTCCTCGTCTTCCTCCTCGCCCTCCAGCACCTCGTCTGGGCTCGCCAGGTCGAAGTCATAGTACACATCGGAGTCCTGCTCGGGCAGGTTGCCAAGGGGGGGCGGTGAAGGCAGACACAGATGTAACGTTGGTTCTGATGTCACTACGTGTATGGGACGAAGTTTCGAATCTTCCAGAAGATCCATGTGCGTGCCGTCGAAGGACGAGTGCCGGTACTCCAAGGCTGCATAGTGGTCCTCGGGGCCCTGTGTGGAGTGCCGGTACTCCATGGACGCATAGTGGTCCTCGGGTCCCGGGTTCACCAGGGACGTTTCCTCGAACGCCGAGGAACCGTTCGAGCCGATTCGAACACGGGATTGCAATCTGCGCGCCAGTCCCTCCGCCCGCGCCCGGCAGTTCATGGCCAGGAGAGAAGAGAGACTACATGGCAGCGACCAGCCGACTCCTGTCACCTCAGGCCCGCCCCGCGACGCTGTAGCCACGCCCTCATCCATGGCGTCACTGGCGTGCTCTCTCGGCGACGTTAACGTCACTGAGTATTTCCACCAGCATCTAGAGAAGCCCAGAACGGCGTAGATGGCGGTGGTCGGGTACCCGCAGCAGTCGGCGACGGCATCGCAGCAGGCGGAGGAATTGAAGGAGGTTGAGGGCAAGTTGATGTTGCAGGAGGGTGGTGGCTCTGGCAGCTGCCCGAGCCGTGGCTCCGCCCTCCCTGCCGGTGTGAGGCAGTACGTGACGCGCGCGCCAGCCTCCACCTGCGGTAAATATACTCACGTTACTACACTTGTCAGGTGTTTTATCCCTTTCTGCCTTATTATTGTTTGTGGCTCCCGGTGGCCCGGTCACTGTGGCTCCCGGGGCACCAGTCACTGTGGCTCCAGGGCACCAGTCACTGCGGCTCCAGGGGCACTAGTCACTGTGGCTCCCAGGCACCAGTCACCCTGGCTCCAGGGGCACCAGTCACTGTGGCTCCCAGGCACCAGTCACCCTGGCTCCAGGGGCACCAGTCACTGTGGCTCCCAGGCACCAGTCACCCTGGCTCCAGGGGCACCAGTCACTGTGGCTCCAGGGCACCAGTCACTGCGGCTCCAGGGGCACTAGTCACTGTGGCTCCCAGGCACCAGTCACCCTGGCTCCAGGGGCACCAGTCACTGTGGCTCCCAGGCACCAGTCACCCTGGCTCCAGGGGCACCAGTCACTGTGGCTCCCAGGCACCAGTCACCCTGGCTCCAGGGGCACCAGTCACTGTGGCTCCCAGGCACAAGTCACCCTGGCTCCAGGGCACCAGTCACCCTGGCTCCAGGGGCACCAGTCACCCTGGCTCCAGGGCACCAGTCACTGTGGCTCCCAGGCACCAGTCACTGTGGCTCCAGGGCACCAGTCACTGTGGCTCCAGGGCACCAGTCACCCTGGCTCCAGGACATCAGTCACTGTGGCTCCAGGGCACCAGTCACTGTGGCTCCAGGGCACCAGTCACTGTTGGCTCCCGGGCACCAGTCACTGTGGCTCCAGGGCACCAGTCACTGTGGTTCCAGGGCACCAGTCACTGTTGGCTCCCGGGCACCAGTCACTATGGTTCCAGGGCACCAGTCAATGTGACTCCAGGGCACCAGTCACTGTGGCTCCAGGGTACCAGTCACTGTGGCTCCAGGGTACCAGTCACTGTGGCTCCAGGGCACCAGTCACTGTGGCTCCAGGGCACCAGTCACTGTGGCTCCAGGGTACCAGTCACTGTGGCTCCAGGGCACCAGTCACTGTGGCTCCAGGGCACCAGTCACTGTGGCTCCAGGGCACCAGTCACTGTTGGCTCCCGGGCACCAGTCACTGTGGCTCCAGGGCACCAGTCACTGTGGTTCCAGGGCACCAGTCACTGTTGGCTCCCGGGCACCAGTCACTGTCACTCCAGGGCACCAGTCACTATGGTTCCAGGGCACCAGTCAATGTGACTCCAGGGCACCAGTCACTAAGACTCCAGGGCACCAGTCACTATGGTTCCAGAGCACCAGTCACTGTGGCTCCAGGGCACCAGTCACTATGGTTCCAGGGCACCAGTCACTGTTGGCTCGGGCACCAGTCACTATGGTTCCAGGGCACCAGTCACTGTGGTTCCAGGGCACCAGTCAATGTGACTCCCGGGCACCAGTCACTATGGTTCCAGGGCACCAGTCACTGTGGTTCCAGGGCACCAGTCACTATGGTTCCAGGGCACCAGTCAATGTGGTTCCAGGGCACCAGTCACTATGGTTCCAGGGCACCAGTCAATGTGACTCCCGGGCACCAGTCACTATGGTTCCAGGGCACCAGTCAGTGTGACTCCAGGGCACCAGTCACTGTGGCTCCAGGGGCACCAGTCACCGTGGCACCAGGGCACCAGTCACCGTGGCTCCAGGGCACCAGTCACCGTGGCTCCAGGGCACCAGTCACTGTGGCTCCAGGGCACCAGTCACTGTGGCTCCAGGGCACCAGTCACCGTGGCTCCAGGGCACCAGTCACCGTGGCTCCAGGGCACCAGTCACCGTGGCTCCAGGGCACCAGTCACCGTGGCTCTAGGGCACCAGTCACCGTGGCTCCAGGGCACCAGTCACCGTGGCTCTAGGGCACCAGTCACCGTGGCTCCAGGGCACCAGTCACTGTGGTTCCAGGGCACCAGTCACCGTGGCTCCAGGGCACAAGTCACTGTGGCTCCAGGGCACCAGTCACCGTGGCTCCAGGGCACCAGTCACCGTGGCTCCAGGGCACCAGTCACCGTGGCTCCAGGGCACCAGTCACTGTGGCTCCAGGGCACCAGTCACCGTGGCTCGAGGGCACCAGTCACTGTGGCTCCAGGGCACCAGTCACTGTGGCTCCAGGGCACCAGTCACCGTGGCTCCAGGGCACCAGTCACTGTGTCTCCAGGGCACCAGTCACTGTGGCTCCAGGGCACCAGTCACCGTGGCTCCAGGGCACCAGTCACCGTGGCTCCAGGGCACCAGTCACCGTGGCTCTAGGGCACCAGTCACCGTGGCTCCAGGGCACCAGTCACCGTGGCTCTAGGGCACCAGTCACCGTGGCTCCAGGGCACCAGTCACTGTGGCTCCAGGGCACCAGTCACCGTGGCTCCAGGGCACCAGTCACTGTGGCTCCAGGGCACCAGTCACCGTGGCTCCAGGGCACCAGTCACCGTGGCTCCAGGGCACCAGTCACCGTGGCTCCAGGGCACCAGTCACTGTGGTTCCAGGGCACCAGTCACCGTGGCTCCAGGGCACCAGTCACTGTGGCTCCAGGGCACCAGTCACCGTGGCTCTAGGGCACCAGTCACTGTGGCTCCAGGGCACCAGTCACTGTGGTTCCAGGGCACCAGCCACCGTGGCTCTAGGGCACCAGTCACCGTGGCTCCAGGGCACCAGTCACTGTGGTTCCAGGGCACCAGTCACCGTGGCTCTAGGGCACCAGTCACTGTGGCACCAGTCACTGTGGCTCCAGGGCACCAGCCACCGTGGCTCTAGGGCACCAGTCACCGTGGCTCTAGGGCACCAGTCACTGTGGTTCCAGGGCACCAGTCACCGTGGCTCTAGGGCACCAGTCACTGTGGCTCCAGGGCTCCAGTCACTATGGCTCCAGGGCACCAGTCACCGTGGCTCCAGGGCACCAGTCACCGTGGCTCCAGGGCACCAGTCACTGTGGTTCCAGGGCACCAGTCACCGTGGCTCCAGGGCACCAGTCACCGTGGCTCCAGGGCACCAGTCACCGTGGCTCTAGGGCACCAGTCACTGTGGCTCCAGGGCACCAGTCACCGTGGCTCCAGGGCACCAGTCACCGTGGCTCCAGGGCACCAGTCACTGTGGTTCCAGGGCACCAGTCACTGTGGCTCCAGGGCACCAGTCACCGTGGCTCCAGGGCACCAGTCACCGTGGCTCCAGGCCACCAGTCACTGTGGCTCCAGGGCACCAGTCACCGTGGCTCCAGGGCACCAGTCACCCTGGCTCCAGGGCACCAGTCACTGTGGATCCAGGGCACCAGTCACTGTGGATCCAGGGCACCAGTCACCGTGGCTCCAGGCACCAGTCACTGTGGTTCCAGGGCACCAGTCACTGTGGCTCCAGGGCACCAGTCACCGTGGCTCCAGGGCACCAGTCACCGTGGCTCCAGGCCACCAGTCACTGTGGCTCCAGGGCACCAGTCACCGTGGCTCCAGGGCACCAGTCACCGTGGCTCCAGGGCACCAGTCACTGTGGATCCAGGGCACCAGTCACTGTGGATCCAGGGCACCAGTCACTGTGGTTCCAGGGCACCAGTCACCGTGGCTCCAGGGCACCAGTCACCGTGGCTCCAGGGCACCAGTCACTGTGGCTCCAGGGCACCAGTCACTGTGGATCCAGGGCACCAGTCACTGTGGCTCCCGGGCACCAGTCACTGTGGATCCAGGGCACCAGTCACTGTGGCTCTAGGGCACCAGTCACCGTGGCTCCAGGGCACCAGTCACCGTGGCTCCAGGCCACCAGTCACTGTGGCTCCAGGGCACCAGTCACCGTGGCTCCAGGGCACCAGTCACCCTGGCTCCAGGGCACCAGTCACTGTGGATCCAGGGCACCAGTCACTGTGGATCCAGGGCACCAGTCACCGTGGCTCCAGGGCACCAGTCACTGTGGTTCCAGGGCACCAGTCACTGTGGCTCCAGGGCACCAGTCACCGTGGCTCCAGGGCACCAGTCACCGTGGCTCCAGGCCACCAGTCACTGTGGCTCCAGGGCACCAGTCACCGTGGCTCCAGGGCACCAGTCACCCTGGCTCCAGGGCACCAGTCACTGTGGATCCAGGGCACCAGTCACTGTGGATCCAGGGCACCAATCACTGTGGTTCCAGGGCACCAGTCACCGTGGCTCCAGGGCACCAGTCACCGTGGCTCCAGGGCACCAGTCACTGTGGCTCCAGGGCACCAGTCACTGTGGATCCAGGGCACCAGTCACTGTGGCTCCCGGGCACCAGTCACTGTGGATCCAGGGCACCAGTCACTGTGGCTCAAGGGCACCAGTCACTGTGGCTCCAGGGCACCAGTCACCGTGGCTCCAGGGCACCAGTCACCGTGGCTCCAGGGCACCAGTCACCGTGGCTCTAGGGCACCAGTCACTGTGGCTCCAGGGCACCAGTCACTGTGGTTCCAGGGCACCAGTCACTGTGGCTCCAGGGCACCAGTCACTGTGGCTCCAGGGCACCAGTCACCGTGGCTCCAGGGCACCAGTCACTGTGGTTCCAGGGCACCAGTCACTGTGGCTCCAGGGCACCAGTCACCGTGGCTCCAGGGCACCAGTCACCGTGGCTCCAGGGCACCAGTCACTGTGGATCCAGGGCACCAGTCACTGTGGATCCAGGACACCAGTCACTGTGGTTCCAGGGCACCAGTCACCGTGGCTCCAGGGCACCAGTCACCGTGGCTCCAGGGCACCAGTCACCGTGGCTCCAGGGCACCAGTCACTGTGGATCAGGGCACCAGTCACTGTGGCTCCCGGGCACCAGTCACTGTGGATCCAGGGCACCAGTCACTGTGGCTCCAGGGCACCAGTCACCGTGGCTCCAGGGCACCAGTCACCGTGGCTCCAGGGCACCAGTCACCGTGGCTCCAGGGCACCAGTCACTGTGGCTCCAGGGCACCAGTCACTGTGGATCCAGGGCACCAGTCACTGTGGCTCCCGGGCACCAGTCACTGTTGGCTCCAGGGCACCAGTCACTGTGGCTCCAGCACACCAGTCACTGTGGCTCCAGCACACCAGTCACTGTGGCTCCCGGGCACCAGTCACTGTTGGCTCCAGGGCACCAGTCACTGTGGATCCAGGACACCAGTCACTGTGGTTCCAGGGTACCAGTCACTGTTGGCTCCAGGGCACCAGTCACTGTGGATCCAGGGCACCAGTCACTGTGGTTCCAGGGCACCAGTCACTGCGGTTCCAGGGCACCAGTCACTGTTGGCTCCAGGGCACCAGTCACTGTGGCTCCAGGGCACCAGTCACTGTGGCTCCAGGGCACCAGTCACTGTTGGCTCCAGGGCACCAGTCACTGTGGCTCCAGGGCACCAGTCACTGTGGCTCCAGGGCACCAGTCACTGTGGCTCCAGGGCACCAGTCAATGTGACTCCCGGGCACCAGTCACTGTGGTTCCAGGGCACCAGTCACTGTTGGCTCCAGGGCACCAGTCACTATGGCTCCAGGGCACCAGTCACCGTGGTTCCAGGGCACCAGTCACCCTGGCTCCAGGGCACCAGTCACCCTGGCTCCAGGGCACCAGTCACCCTGGCTCCAGGGCACCAGTCACCCTGGCTCCAGGGCACCAGTCACCCTGGCTCCAGGGCACCAGTCACCCTGGCTCCAGGGCACTAGTCACCCTGGCTCCAGGGCACCAGTCACTATGACTCCAGGGCACCAGTCACTGTGGTTCCACTGCACCAGTCACTATGGCTCCAGGGCACCAGTCACTGTGGTTCCAGGGCACCAGTCACCCTGGCTCCAGGGCACCAGTCACCCTGGCTCCAGGGCACCAGTCACCCTGGCTCCAGGGCACCAGTCACCCTGGCTCCAGGGCACCAGTAACCCTGGCTCCAGGGCACCAGTCACCCTGGCTCCAGGGCACCAGTCACCCTGGCTCCAGGGCACCAGTCACCCTGGCTCCAGGGCACCAGTCACCCTGGCTCCAGGGCACCAGTCACCCTGGCTCCAGGGCACCAGTCACCCTGGCTCCAGGGCACCAGTCACCCTGGCTCCAGGGCACCAGTCACTGTTGCTAGGCACAAGTTTAAGCAGCCCTTCCTCCTGTGTAGTCAGTACTCCCAGTAACACGGGGGACCATCGTGCATATATTGACGTAATGAACAGTTAGAAAAGTAAAATTTGGTAGAATACTATTAAATTTGAACAAACCGGAAAATGTTGTGTATTTATGTTGATAATGAAACCTAACCTAACCTAACCTAACCTAACCTAACCTAACCTAATCTAACCTAACCTAACCTAATCATGCTTGGCGTAGTACACTCTATTTGAAGCCTAACATAGTACATATATGTGTTATATTAGACCGAGGAAAATTTAAGTTTATTTTTATTTTTTTTTCTTTCTAGACTCTGCAAAGTGTATAGTACTTAACTCTACTATCTAGCTGCCCATTACGTCTATGTATGTACGATGGTTCACATAGTTATGAAGAGTACTAGCTAAACAGGACGATGAGTTGGTCACTATCGGAGGCGTGTGAGATACAGTCATACACTGAAGTAATGGTGAGAGTAGAGATGATACGACATATGATCACATCAACAAAAACAAGTCACAAAAAACATATAATGACGATACAACAAAGTGTCAAATGTTTGGTATCTCGTGGTATCTCTACCGAATGCTCTAGCTGGTCCTTGCAACACTGATGTTTCAGCAAACAAAAACAAAACAAAAAAAGCTTAGCATTGATGCAGAATATTAAAGTCACACGTACATTTTACAGTGTGTCGGAACATGTATGATAGAGCTAGGAAGCTTTACAGTGATATAATGTTGCTGCGACAGTTAAAGTCCCAGCAAACACACAACATTCCAGCAACGTTATGTTATTGTTTCTCTGTTTTTTGTGGCTATATACGTTGTGTGTTGGTCGGGAAGGTCCTGCGTGAGCATGCGACTCACCTTCTCACCGACATCTTCCACCTGCAGTATCATGCCTGGTTTCCCTTGACCTCAAGACAACACAGGAATCCCTCCTCGACCTGCAGCCTCTCATCCACACCATATTTCCTCCCACAATAATCTACTCTGTGGAGATGGCGAGAAACGAGGGACGTACATGATGGTGGAAGCGTCGGTTTAGGGGGATGGGGAACTTTGCCAATATATTCATCCAAGTCTGCTAACTGTACATGCTTCTGTTGATACTAAAAAAAAAATATATTTATATATATGTTTGTGTATATATATCTGGATCGTACGCAGGGATACGGAATGGGGTATTGACCTGGCCTATGCTTTAATATTTCTCGCAGTAGTTTAAAACAATTTAAAAAATCTAAATTGATATAAAAAACACAAAGTTTTACCAAACTCTGGAGTACGTATTATGACTAGAATGATGTTGTTTTAAAAGAGCTTTATAAATTATGAGATGCCAGCAGCATAAATATAGTTATGTTAATTATATTCCAGTTAAAATACCACCATTTTTTTCCATCTATCCCACGTACCACCCCAAACTCAGTCATCGTATAATCATATTTAATAACATAATTAAAGTATTAGCTAAAAAAAAAAAAAAAGAGTTTTACACAGTCCATCAAATACTATATATATATATATATATATATATATATATATATATATATATATATATATATATATATATATATATATATATATATATATATATATATATATATGTCGTACCTAATAGCCAGAACGCACTTCTCAGCCTACTATTCAAGGCCCGATTTGCCTAATAAGCCAAGTTTTCATGAATTAATGTTTTTTCGTCTACCTAACCTACCTAACCTAACCTAACCTAGCTTTTTTTTGGCTACCTAACCTAACCTTACCTATAAATATAGGTTAGGTTAGGTTAGGTAGGGTTGGTTAGGTTCGGTCATATATCTACGTTAATTTTAACTCCAATAAAAAAAAATTGACCTCATACATAGAGAAAAGGGTTGCTTTATCACTTCATAAGAAAAAAATTATAGTAAATATATTAATTCAGGAAAACTTGGCTTATTAGGCAAATCGGGCCTTGAATAGTAGGCTGAGAAGTGAGTTCTGGCTACTAGGTACGACATATATATATATATATATATATATATATATATATATATATATATATATATATATATATATGTCGTACCTAATAGCCAGAACGCACTTCTCAGCCTACTATGCAAGGCCCGATTTGCCTAATAAGCCAAGTTTTCATGAATTAATGTTTTTTCGACGACCTAACCTACCTAACCTAACCTAACCTAACTTTTTCGGCTACCTAACCTAACCTAACCTATAAAGATAGGTTAGGTTAGGTTAGGTAGGGTTGGTTAGGTTTGGTCATATATCTACGTTAATTTTAACTCCAATAAAAAAAATTACCTCATACATAATAAAATGGGTAGCTTTATCATTTCATAAGAAAAAAATTAGTGAAAATATATTAATTAAGGAAAACTTGGCCTATTAGGCAAATCGGGCCTTGCATAGTAGGCTGAGAAGTGCGTTCTGGCTACTAGGTACGACATATATATATATATATATATATATATATATATATATATATATATATATATATATATTATATATATATATATATATATATATATATATTATATATATATATATATATATATATATATATATATATATAGTCTGACTACAATATAGATATAAATATCATGCAATCAAAGAGTGGCACTGTAAGATACCAGGAATATCCTGGTCGTGGCCACAGGAGGTCGGGGCGGGCGCCTGGTAGCCGCACTCACCACAGACGCAGCTCGACTACTGCCGCCGCTGCCCTACCACCTGGCTGCCTGCGTCGCCTCCGCGTCTTATCAACATCTTCTTTTAACTGAAACAGAAACATAATAGTTGTTTAACTATTGCTCAGCTCCTCTTGACACATCGCCAGCCTTTCTTAATTGAATGAAACGAGAAAGAGTGAGAGAGAGAGAGAGTAAGAGAAAACTTCACGAAGCTGGAGAGAGAACAGAACTGAAGGGGACACTGATCTATTCCGCCTCCTCAGCGTTTTCTGTATCATATCTTATCTTAAAGTTCTTACATTATTGTAAAGTCACTAGCATGCATAGCGTTTCAGGCAGGTCCTTAATTATTATTTTTCCCTGGATTACGATCCGCCAAATCGTTTAACAACCAGGTAGCCATTCACTGCTGGGTGAACAGAGGCTCCAGTTAAGGATTGGCACTCGGTCAATCCTTCTCAACCAGGATACGACTCCAGGTTAAAGTGCTCGCAAAGCGCCGGGCGAGTGCTTTATCACTACGTCACTGTTGTTGTTGTTTTAGATTCAGCCACTCGGAAGAAAAAGTTCCAAGTAGTACGGGGCTACAGAATAATGAAAGAAATCGACTACTTGGAACCGTAGTGGACTTACCTGGCACAGGAGCGGGACTGTAACAGCACTACGCCACGGAGATTGTTTAATTGATTGTTAATACACACACCTGCTCCACCTCACGTGCTCCACCCAACATCTGTTCCACCTCTGTGCTCCACCCGTACCCGATCCACCCTCCCAGGCTCCACCCTCCCAGGCTCCACCCACATCTGCCTCACCCTCCCTCATTTGCAGTTCAACATCCAACACTTGCCCGTGAAGATGGTCCGATGGCTGGGGGAGACATTCTTTAAAAGCGATACATGGTGATGGCCACCAGGGGAAGGGCTGGTGGAGATAGAGAATGGTTGGCACCAAGGTAGGGCCTGGCGGAGATGGATAATTGTTGGCGCTAAGGACGGGGGCGGGCGGAGATGGATAATTGTTGGCACCAAGGGAGAATTTGGCGGAGATGGATAATTGTTGGCGCTAAGGACGGGGGCGGGCGGAGATTGGGAATAGCTGGCCCAGGGTGGTACTGGCGCCTTTTGTTGAATATGAGCCAGATTCATCTACCCGTTGAGGAAACAAGTGTCTCCCGATGGAGTAAGTTGGTTGGTTGTGTGTGATGTGATGTCTCTTGTCGGCCCTTTGTCCTATCTACCTATTGTTGTCCGCATCGGGTGAAGGAGGCCAACTACTGTCTACTGTTATCGGGATGGGGAGGCGTCGCAGCCCCTCCCCCTAAAATGAAAGTACCAATATGCCGTCATGGACCACGAGAAAATTGAATTTTTGTGTTCTTGAATACGGACAAACCGGAAAAGTTTTATATATATATATATATATATATATATATATATATATATATATATATATATATATATATATATATATATATATATATATATATATATATATATATATATATATATATATATATATATATGCCGTACCTAGTAGCCAGAACGCACTTCTCAGCCTACTTTGCAAGGCCCGATTTGCCTAATAAGCCAAGTTTTCATGAATTAATTGTTTTTCGACTACCTAACCTACCTAACCTAACCTAACCTAACTTTTTCGGCTACCTAACCAAACCTAACCTATAAAGATAGGTTAGGTTAGGTTAGGTAGGGTGGTTAGGTTCGGTCATATATCTAGGTTAATTTTAACTCCAATAAAAAAAATTGACCTCATACATAATGAAATGGGTTGCTTTATGTATTCATAAGAAAACAATTAGAGAAAATATATTAATTCAGGAAAAACTTGACTTATTATGCAAATCGGGCCTTGCATAGTAGGCCAAAAAGTACGTTCTGGCTACTAGGTACGACATATATATATATATATATTATATATATATATATATATATATATATATATATATATATATATATATATATATATATATATATATATATATGTACGTGTGCTACATAGCCTTCCCGGCTTGGTGCCTTCTTTTGATAATTATTTACTCTCTATTTATGTTGCTAAATGAAACCTAACCAAATCTAACCATTTGAATGATCCAAATCATCCTAGACCTAACACCCGCTATCTGAGGCCTGATACTGTACATATATATGTGCTATACTAAGCCTAGGAATATATAATTTTTGTTTTAGCCTTTTTTTCTGGACTATTAAGAAAAATTTACGAAAAGTGGCTTGCAGGGGCTCCAGAACTATCTATTGGTACTTTCGACTCCATAGTCACAAAACGTACTATCATGTGAAAAGGTCGGGTTGTGCAGCCCACTACTCACCAAACACAACATGAAGCTGGAAGACCATTACACTAGTTTCACAGCTTAGAGGGTCTGGCTACGAGAAAAGACTAAACAGGTTGAGCGTCAAGTTACTGTTATATATATACAGGCTTCGGGAGAGACATGATTACCACATACACAATTCTCAGGGGCAATATTTTTTAGGTGGAGACAAGACTCGATACGCAGCTTCAAATGTGGATATGACTTAGGACAGAGAATCTGTATAAGAAAAAAATATACATCTTCGTATAGACTTGGAACCTCTATCTCATTGTGTCACCTGTGTACACCTGCCTCTCCCACTGCTTGACACTTGTGTACACCTGTCTCCCACACTACTTCACACCTGTGTACACCTGCCTCTCCCACTACTGGTCACCATGTAATGTATCAATTATACATTGTATGTATGTGATGTAACTATATAACCTGAGCATGTAAAAGCATCTTAATCACCTTCAGTGATTAAGTGCTTAATTGCACACTAGTTTCTCTATCAGCACACTTCGAACACTTTATGCAGGGCATACGTAAATCTGTGTATCTATGTATTTACGTATGTAGGTTAGCCTAGCATTTTAAAAGCACCGAATCACCTTCTGTGGTTGAGTGTTCAATAAACCCTTGAACTATATGTTTAACACATCTCTAACCCTGTCCATGGAGGACACAAGAAAATGTATATATATGCTGGTTAGCATTGTAAATGTGTGGCCACGTCTGTGGTAGAAAATAACAATAAATAAAGCTACTGGTCACCTGTGTATACCTGTGGCCAGCGGAACTGTGTTTCGTGCATCAAATATTAACACAACTGAAGCATGCAGACACAGGCGTTGCTCAACATGCAATGCTGCACAAGATCATATCTGGGTTGCGTCAGCCGCCAGCTGTTGCATAAGCAAAGTGCATCAAGTTGACGGCAACAAATCGAGAAAATGAGACTACTTAGCACTGAATTTATTGCATTTGTTAAAATTATTTTAAATTATTTTACCCAGTTTGTCTGAAGTTAACAAATTCTAAAGATAATTTTCATGAAGAGAATCTCTCGCCATTAAAACGTAATTAATAATAGTGTGAACACGTAGATGGTTCCCAACAGTGTTAAGATTATCTGTAGTTCGTGCGGGAATTGCCTGTTTTTCAGGAGGTAATACGCCCCAGTGTATGGTACAACCTCACGCCCTCCCTGGCCACGTGTCAGGGGTGGCCAGGCAGGACGTGGCCAAGGGTGGCCAGGGAGGGCGTGGCCAAGGGTGGCCAGGGAGGGCGTGGCCAAGGGTGGCCAGGGAGGGCGTGGCCAAGGGTGGCCAGGGAGGGCGTGGCCAGGGGTGGCCAGGGAGGGCGTGGCCAAGGGTGGCCAGGGAGGGCGTGGCCAGGGGTGGCCAGGGAGGGCGTGGCCAAGGGTGGCCAGGGAGGGCGTGGCCAAGGTTGGCCAGGGAGGCGTGGCCAAGGGTGGCCAGGGAGGGCGTGGCCAGGGGTGGCCAGGGAGGCGTGGCCAGGGGTGGCCAGGGAGGGCGTGGCCAAGGGTGGCCAGGGGGCCCAGGGAGGGCGTGGCCAAGGGTGGCCAGGGAGGGCGTGGCCAGGGGTGGCCAGGGAGGGCGTGGCCAGGGTGGCCAGGGAGGGCGTGGCCAAGGGTGGCCAGGGAGGGCGTGGCCAAGGGTGGCCAGGGAGGCGTGGCCAGGGTGGCCAGGGAGGGCGTTGGCCAGGGGTGGCCAGGGAGGGCGTGGCCAAGGGTGGCCAGGGAGGGCGTGGCCAAGGGTGGCCAGGGAGGGCGTGGCCAAGGGTGGCCAGGGAGGGCGTGGCCAAGGGTGGCCAGGGAGGGCGTGGCCAAGGGTGGCCAGGGAGGGCGTGGCCAGGGGTGGCCAGGGAGGGCGTGGCCAGGGGTGGCCAGGGAGGGCGTAGATTAAAATGCAAGTCCTCATAATTAACAACACACCAATTATATAATTCACTTCAACCTCTACAGAGTCCTATTTAATAATACTTAGGGCTCTGCTGATGTATTATTGTATTACGGCTATTGTATTAATTTATTACTGTTAATGTATTATTTGATTACTGCTGACGTATTCCTGGCTAATGTATTACTTAGTTGGGAAATTGTCGACGAATAACTTTTAATTGTTGCATATTCCGTCTATCTCTCCCTCTTTACATAATTGCTAGCACAACATTGTAGCAGCTGCCTCGTATGGACCACTGTAGCAGCTGCCTCGTATGGACCACTGTGGCAGCTGCCTCGTATGGTCCACTGTGGCAGCTGCCTCGTATGGTCCACTGTAGCAGCTGCCTCGTATGGTCCACTGTAGCAGCTGCCTCGTATGGTCCACTGTAGCAGCTGCCTCGTATGGTCCACTGTAGCAGCTGCCTCGTATGGTCCACTGTAGCAGCTGCCTCGTATGGTCCACTGTAGCAGCTGCCTCGTATGGTCCACTGTAGCAGCTGCCTCGTATGGACCACTGTAGCAGCTGCCTCGTATGGACCACTGTAGCAGCTGCCTCGTATGGACCACTGTAGCAGCTGCCTCGTATGGACCACTGTAGCAGCTGCCTCGTATGGTCCACTGTAGCAGCTGCCTCGTATGGTCTACTGCAGCAGCTGCCTCGTATGGACCACTGTAGCAGCTGCCTCGTATGGACCACTGTAGCAGCTGCCTCGTATGGTCCACTGTAGCAGCTGCCTCGTATGGTCCACTGCAGCAGCTGCCTCGTATGGACCACTGTAGCAGCTGCCTCGTATGGTCCACTGTAGCAGCTGCCTCGTATGGTCCACTGTAG